GGTTGACCACATATTGCCAACATGTGACTATAACAGTGCAGTTCTATGTGGGGGGCTAAGTGCCTTGATCAAGGGCACAACGGCAGGTGGTGGTATGTCTACATGGGATCAGACACAGCAGCTTTCCAGTGTCAATAATGCTTACTTTCTCATGTAGGCTATAATAATAGCATTGGAAATTTGGTTAAAAGCCATGTTGAAGTTATGTGTATAAACCGTTAACAGTGAATAATCAGAGGTCTCTATAGCATAATGTCATTGGTGATGTTCGGTGAACAATTGGACCGACTTGGAAAAAGACAGATACTGCACTTTTCCCATCCCAAATCAAGCACATATTATGCAAATACTTATCAGATACAATCGTTAGGGATAGGCTTACACAGGTGTCGCGCGCGTGGCTTGTCATGAGAGGTATTCGACCGAGGGGAAAGAATGATAAAACAAGTCGATGTCCAGATGGCACGATCGAATATGTGCATAATTGTAATATGCCTGTGTTTACATAGGCAGATATTCGACAGGACATGACACAGCACGCGTTTAACAAGTATTTAGCATGCGTAATGTCCATGGCATTAGCTTGTCAGAAATGTGAATATTTTGAAATGAAAGATATTTGGTCGATTTGCATCTAAAGGTTGTGCTATTTCTTCAACCATATTGGAACAGCTTTGGGCAAATGTTCTAGCACATGCCACTCATCTCTCCACACGTGCCCAATGTCCAAATGGTGTAGGACTCGTCGCTTTTGCCATGGTGTGGCGTGTGTCTGACCAGTGGTGCTAAAACTGGGAGGAGAAAAAGAGGTAACAACCTGGAGGAGCGGAAAGACGCACTGCGAGAACATTTGGAGAGGTGTTGCTCAGTGGCAGAAGGCATAGGGCGCCTATAAATGTGAATTTGCGCCTTCTGTAGAGGTGTCAAGTGCAACACCACGAGCCTGAGACAGGCCGATTCCCAGGCTTTCTGCCGCGTGCATGTTCATTTATAGCAGTTTAAGGTGACACTTTATGACCGTAGAGTTTGGTCGCACCTTTCAACGAGCAGATTTTGTTTGGTCCAAATGAAATGGCACATTGCCCGTTGCAGGCCACATGGGTAGGCCTACTCATTTCTGACCCCAACTTGTCCAAGCCTACTCAAACGAAGTCAAACTACGTTGGTAATGAAAATTACCTCACCAAACAGACACAAAAAAAGACTTTTGTCCAGATCTCTGTAAAATTACCAAGACCAGTGCATTACGGAATTGTCACATCAAATTAAAATTGTATTTGTCACATGCTTCGTAAACAACAGAAACGTATGTCACTATAGTCACTTGAGTGGTAGTTCTAGTTTATCACTTTAACTATAAAGTATGGGAAATGTAATTCAATTTAAAATGACACATTCAATCGAATTTCGTTGTCTTCCAACCCAGTAGGCCTACTGCTGATAATTGCACTAATTATTAACATTTTATGCTATTAAGATACGCAGATTAAATCAATAATTCGTTAAATATCTAACTAAATAACTATGGTATTAAAAGACATTAACTCCCACACTCATTTTCCCAAGAAAGCCTGTGGCCATTTGTATTTTGGCACGTGTGCGTCTGGGAGCGGCAGGTAGTTTAGTGGTAAAGAGCGTTGTGCCAGTAACCGAAAGGTCGCTGGTTCTAATCCCCGAGCCAACTAGGTGAAAAATCTGTCGGTGTGCCCTTGAGCAAGGCTCCTGTAAGTCGCTCTGTATAAGAGCGTCTGCTAAATAACTAAAAATGTAAATTAAAACCCAACATAAATATTCCTCAGAGAATGATACGCATTGATCGACCCTAATCTGGCATTGCAAATATGTGCCGAGATCAGCTGCGGTTAAACTGCAAATTCTCTAGTGCCAAGTACTGAAGAGGCTCATAGTGTTTGTCAGGAGTTAATCGTCACAATACTTAATTACGACCTTAATTGTCATTTACTAAAGTCATACTTGAGATGGTCTGGTATATGGCCATTGACTACCTCCAGCCCATTGTCTGACCCAAAACAGTAAATAGGAGTTGGTGGAGGCACACTCACTCAGTCAGGCCTATGGCTGAAAAACAGTCGATGTTGTGGATGAGTATCCTACCAATTTACCAGAGCCATATAGAAATGTGCTGTAAACATTTCCATTATGACCTCTTCCACAAACATGAGTCAGATTAGAAATGTCTTCTACCAGTTGTTAATGCATTAAATATCTCAGATTTTTATTTAAGATTACAGTGGGGGAAAAAAAGTATTTAGTCAGCCACCAATTGTGCATGTTCTCCCACTTAAAAAGATGAGAGGCCTGTAATTTTCATCATAGGTACACGTCAACTATGACAGACAAATTGAGAAAAAAAATCCAGAAAATCACATTGTAGGATTTTTTATGAATTTATTTGCAAATTATGGTGGAAAATAAGTATTTGGTCACCTACAAACAAGCAGGATTTCTGGCTCTCACAGACCTGTAACTTCTTCTTTAAGAGGCTCCTCTGTCCTCCACTCGTTACCTGTATTAATGGCACCTGTTTGAACTTGTTATCAGTATAAAAGACACCTGTCCACAACCTCAAACAGTCACACTCCAAACTCCACTATGGCCAAGACCAAAGAGCTGTCAAAGGACACCAGAAACAAAATTGTAGACCTGCACCAGGCTGGGAAGGCTGAATCTGCAATAGGTAAGCAGCTTGGTTTGAATAAATCAACTGTGGGAGCAATTATTAGGAAATGGAAGACATACAAGACCACTGATAATCTCCCTCGATCTGGGGCTCCACGCAAGATCTCACCCCGTGGGGTCAAAATGATCACAAGAACGGTGAGCAAAAATCCCAGAACCACACGGGGGGACCTAGTGAACCACCTGCAAAGAGCTGGGACCAAAGTAACAAAGCCTACCATCAGTAACACACTACGCCGCCAGGGACTCAAATCCTGCAGTGCCAGACGTGTCCCCCTGCTTAAGCCAGTACATGTTCAGGCCCGTCTGACGTTTGCTAGAGTGCATTTGGATGATCCAGAAGAGGATTGGGAGAATGTCATATGGTCAGATGAAACCAAAATATAACTTTTTGGTAAAAACTCAACTTGTCGTGTTTGGAGGACAAAGAATGCTGAGTTGCATCCAAATAACACCACACCTACTGTGAAGCATGGGGGTGGAAACATCATGCTTTGGTGCTGTTTTTCTGCAAAGGGACCAGGACGACTGATCCGTGTAAAGGAAAGAATGAATGGGGCCATGTATCGTGAGATTTTGAGTGAAAACCTCCTTCCATCAGCAAGGGCATTGAAGATGAAACGTGGCTGGGTCTTTCAGCATGACAATGATCCCAAACACACCACCCGGGCAACGAAGGAGTGGCTTCGTAAGAAGCATTTCAAGGTCCTGGAGTGGCCTAGCCAGTCTCCAGATCTCAACCCCATAGAAAATCTTTGGAGGGAGTTGAAAGTCCGTGTTGCCCAGCGACAGCCCCAAAACATAATTGCTCTAGAGGAATGGGCCAAAATACCAGCAACAGTGTGTGAAAACCTTGTGAAGACTTACAGAAAACGTTTGACCTGTGTCATTGCCAACAAAGGGTATATAACAAAGTATTGAGAAACTTTTGTTATTGACCAAATACTTATTTTCCACCATAATTTGCAAATAAATTCATAAAAAATCCTACAATGTGATTTTCTGGATTTTTTTCCCTCATTTTGTCTGTCATAGTTGACGTGTACCTATGATGAAAATTACAGGCCTCTCTTATATTTTTAAGTGGGAGAACTTGCACAATTGGTGGCTGACTAAATACTTTTTCCCCCCCACTGTATGTCTGCCAATGTAACAGGCATCATTGGCAGACATCTCCGCTGTCCAACTGCCCCATACTGGGCTCGAAACAGTGATCCTCTGGTTCGATACACACATGCCTGCCCTCCTTGACATGTAAACCGACTAACCCATTCAAAAAGGTACCTCTTGGATGGCTCCATCAGCGACCTTTTATTTCAGCTCATGAAACATGAGACCAACACTTTACATGTTGCGTTTATATTTCTGTTCAGTATAGATGCCAGGGTTTTTAGAGGATATTCAACATGTTGCCATGAAAACACCTGATTGATGCTAGTTCACATTACATGTTCGGTTGTGCCAAATCACACAAGATGCTAGATTAGTTTTTTTCTTTATTTGGGACTTTGTGAATGGTTCACATAAACTGAATCTCACAGAACATTCAACAAGCACATATTAAGACACGAGGATCCATTTTCACTTGGTATGCGTGGCTCCAGCCCAATTTCACATGGCTTGCCTTGGCTTGATTTGCTGAAAATGTCTCTCCCACTCATTCCTACAGCGCAAGCTCCAGCCTCTGTTGCACACAGTCCCGTTGGCATCAACAGCGCCTGTCCAAGCAATGACTTCTCATTGGTGGAGATAAGAAGCTTAGAGAGTCTCAGAGTGCAACAGGTTTAATAATAATATTCATATCCTAAACCCTGACCAGCTCAGTCTTAGATATACATTTTTAAAAATGGAAACTGTTGCACAAAGCTGATCGAACTCCATCATTCCGGAGCACCAGATCCAAGTGCATGGAGTTGCAGATAAGAGCACTGTTCTCTGGTCAGTTCCCCGTATGACCGGCCGGTGGGTAGAAGTGGATTAACTAATGTGGTGGACTGAAACGGTTCAATCAATAATGTCTGTAACCACTCAGCACCATTTTGTAAATGTCAGTGCCAACAGAGGACCAATGGAAGCAGATGGGGGCATGCGCCACCTACACCCGAGCATCTGAGATCCAGGAAGTGACTTCGCTGGCGACAGAGGTACCAGAATGTTATTTTGGATTCTTGCTCCTTTCCAGCTCATCCCCCCCAAGACATGCCTGTGACAGTCAAAAGTCCAGCTGATTGGATGGTCTCTCCTTGTCTCCTCCCCCACGCTGCCAGTGACTGATTGGTGGGTGCGAGTGAGAGGCCCACTCACTGTTGTTTGGAGCGCCAGAACCGTCCGGCGATGGAGCCCAAGGAGATGCCCTGCTTCTTCTGCTGGGCCAGCTCTGCCAACCTCTGCTCCTCCTCCTGTCCACACACCCATCAATATCTACAGTTACATCAGGATCTAATGGACTATTGCTCTAAAGCTCTCACAAAACAGTTGGAGAAAGGGCGACAAGCTATCAACAGTGAAAAGGTTTTTCCTACTGAAAATGTAATGTTTGAGGATAAGGACACTTCTGTTGGTTGGTAACGTTAGTGTATTTGTTAGTTGTCATCCATTGCTCCTAAACATTGGGTTTGTTTGGACTGTACCTGTGCTAGCTGCGCTTGTCTGCGTTTGAAGGCCTCTATTGGGTCGTCTTCCAGTGCGTAGTTCTCCAGGACAGAACGCACGTCATCCACTCCACTGAGAGCAATGGCTGCCAGAGAGAAACACGAGTGAATAGTGTCTGGGAAGGAACAGATTAGTCGACACACATGCCATTGCGCACACACACACACACACACTTACTCTTGAGGAAATGAGCTAGGTCGTAGAGTGTTCGGTCCTCTGAGTTGCCGTCCCACTTCGTCAGAGCCATGCCGTTGAAAGGCTGCAGGCTGAAGGCTTCCCTCTTACAGTCCACCACGATCACCTTGGAGGTGTCCCGGTTCAGACACGACACGTCCTACAGGGGAGGGGAGGGTGGAAGAGAGAGAGTTGAGTTACAAGACACTCTCTGAAGAGTAATTTATCTTAAGAAAGTTGATGTAAAAATTAAATCTATCCCTTTCATTGTTTAATAGTAATTGTGACAATTGGAAGAAATACACAAATGGCTTGCAATCATCTTAGTTCATCAATAAATGTAATGTTTGCATATACACACACATTTATAGAGGGGAGAACACACACACACTTTCCCCTGGCCTGCCCTGTGCATTGAGTCTCAGTAGTGGGCCTGGGGAGCAGATGGAGAGGGACGCCGAGTTCTCCCTATCGCTGAGGTCATCTGGATCCCCCTGAGGTGCTGCTGACTAGCCTGTCAGAGCAGGGGGAGGGGCCTGCAGTGAGTGTGTGTGTGTGTGTGTGTGTGTGGGTATAGGAAAGAACAGGCACGCTCTCCTCACTCCCAATAAATAATCAGCGTCTGCCTTCCTTCTGAGACGGGGCCCAATCCCCAAGAGAACGTGGGAGTATGTATATTGACGAGTGTGCGTTTCTACATTAGCCTAGTGTGAGGTGCAGTAATGAGTTTATGAGTGATGTATTGATGTCTGTGCTTACAGAGTTGGTCAGCCTCTATGATAACTTATTATTTCAGTCAGATAAATACAGTATGTGTGTTTGGCACATGTGTAGTTGAGAGTTGGGCCATGTGATGCATACAGTGCTTCAGAAAGTATTCATACCCCTTGACTTATACCACATTGTGTTACACCCTAAATTCAAAATTGATTAAATTGATTTTTTTCTCTCACCCATCTAGACACAATACCCCATAATGACAAAGTGAAAAATATGTTTAGACATTTTTGCAAATTAAGTGAAAATCAAAATACAGAAATCTAATTTCCATAAGTATTCACACCCCTTTGCTATGACACTCCAAATTGAGCTCAGGTGCATCCAATTTCCTTTGTTCATCCTTGAGATGTCGTTAAAACTTGGAGTCCACCTGTGGCCAATTCAATTGTTTGGACATGATTTAGAATGAAACACACCTGTCTATATAAGATCCCACAGTTGACAGTGCATGTCAGAGAAGAAACTATACCATGAAGCCCAAGGAACTGTCTGGAGATCTCAGAGATATAATTATGATGAGGCATATATTTGTGGAAGGGTATAAAACAACTTCTAGAGTGTTGAACGTTTCCAAGAGCACAGTGTGCTCCATCATTGGGAAATAAAACAATGATGGAACTACCCAGACTCTGCCTAGAGCTGGCCTTCCGACCAAACGGCGCAACAGGGCAAGAAGGACCTTGGTCAGGGAGGTGACCAAGAACCCAATGACCACTCTGACAGAACTACAGAGTTAATTGGCTAAGATGGAGAGAAGTCTCTACAGCACTTCACCAATCTGGGAGAGTGACCAGACGGAAGCCACTCCTGAGAAAAAGGCACGACAACACACCTGAAGTTTGCAAAAAGGAACGTAAAAGACAGATCATAAGGCAAAAGATTGTGGTCTGATAAGACAAAAATGGCCTGAATGAAAAGCACTATGTCTGGCGAAAACCAGGGAGAGCTCATCACCCAACTAACACCATACCTACCGTGAAGCATGGTGGTGGCAGCATCATGCTATGGGGATGCTTTTCAGCAGCAGGTACTGGGAGACTGGTAAGGATAGAGGGAACAATGAATGGAGCCAAATTCAGGCAAATCCCTGATGAGGACCTGCTTCAGTGCAAACGACAGACTGGGGCAAAGATTTGTTCCACCAGGACAATGACCCCAAGCATACAGCCAAAGTAACGCTGGAATGGCTTCAGAACAAGAATGTGAAAGTACTTGAGCGGCCTAGCCCCAAAGCCCAGACTTGAATCCCATTCCAAAATCTGTGGAAAGACTTGAAGATTGATGTTCACCACCGCTCCACATTTAATTTAAGAGCTTGAGAAAATCCCCAAATCCAGATGTGCAAAACGGATAGACATACCCAAGACAACTGAAAGCTGAAATCGCCGTCAAACGTGCTTCTTCAAAGTATTGACTCAGGGGGTGTGAATACTTGGTAACACTTGACACCTAGCGTCATAACCGGTCCTAATATGGTCATAACACTGTCATGCCAGTTGTGAAATATTGCTTTACTTTATAGCTGGTTATGAAACCTACATAAGTGTCAAAACCCACATAACCTACCACACAAGGCAAAACATTCCATTACACCATAGCCTATTTGTCTACAGTATTTTTAGGTTATAACATTGTTTGAAATGCACACACATTGATGTCAGACTTGCACCTACACAAATGCTCTGTTGCTGATGACTGGGATGAATGCAGGAGCAGATTTCAGGAGCAGGACAAGACCCTCTTTTTGACTGATGACTGACATAAGGGCATGTACATGATAGGCCTTTCTGTCTTATATGATTCTGATGGCCTTAATGCTTCTTGACAGTGTCAGTGTATTTACTAAGTTATTTGAAATGTGATGAAAAAGACGACTAAAGAAATCATTACAACAAAGGATTTAAGAAACAAACTTTCAAAACGAAAGGAAACTTCCTGGCAGGGAAAAAACACATTCAAATAAAATGTGGGTTTTGACACTTATGTAGGTGTCATAACCAGCCATTAATTAACGCAATATGTCACAACAGGTGTAAATATATGGGTCATGACAGTGTTATGACCATATTATGTCAGCTGTTAAGACATGGTTATGACATGTTATGATGCTAGGTGTCAAGTATTCATTAACACTTTACTTATGTAAATTAGATATTTCTGTATTACATTTTCAATAAATTTGCTAAAACTTCTATAAACATGTTTCACTTTGTCATTATTGGGTATTGTGTGTAGATTAGTGAGATTTTTTTTGTAATTTAATTAATTTTAAATTCAGGCTGTAAAACAACATTTGGTATAAGTCAAGGGGTATGAATACTTTCTAAAGGCACTGTAGGGATCCGGTTTCACAGGCAGCCGTGCTCTGTGATGCCCCTAACAAAGAAACAGGCAGCAAGCCAGAGTAGGTATGTGTCCAACCCACACACACACACACACACACACACCCTCTCATAGGGTTATATACACACACCTACCCACAAGTTTGGTGCGCAGGGTAAACAAATACGATGTACTAGTATGACTACTTAAATCTGACACTCCCATGGAGAATGAAATGACAATTTGAACTGAAAATAAACTAAATGAAAACTGATCTCTGAAACGCAAATTTGGTGGGGCAGTCGAGCACTCAACAGTCTTGTTCAACTCCATCCAGTCGGTCCACCTGTGACAGAAGGTTGTGCCCTCCACTAACTGCCCTCTGTCTTCAGGGGGGGGTTCTAAACTAGTCCACATCTCACCCCTCAAAGTTGGACTTGTCATCAACATCAATGGCTGATTCTACCACAGCCTGATTCTATCCACAGTTAATTAGACTGACCGGCTGATATTGTGAGTCGTCAGGCTCGCTGATTTTATTGGCACATCGCATCAACTGTGGCTCCACATCGTTTGAAAACTTTTTTGGGGAAAAACACCATCGAAATTCACCATTGGACAGACGCCTGAGGCCTCGGGGGACTCCACTCTCTATTCAGACCTCCCTTTCTCTCGCTCCCTTTCTGCCTCCCTGTTGCTTTTCAGAGGGCCAGATGGAAGGCGACGGAGGTGAGAGGGAGCTTGGGAAGGGGGAGGAGGAGAGAGGAGGTAGAGACAGAGAGATGGGCAGAAGGTCACCAAAGGAAGGGGAAGGGGACAGGAGACACGTGAATTCAGGTGAGTACACAGAAGGAGAGGAGAAGATCCTGTATGTAACGTTAGAGTCAGGATGACTAAGCACCAAATAAATACATCAAAGTGGTGCATAGCACGAGGTAGCAGGTTACCCTCATCAATTCTTAATGTTTCCCGATGAATATGAGTTTTAGTAGTGAGTGATTAACATGGAAAGAACTGACCTCTATGAATAATACATGGCCATGCATCTTCACATAGAAAAGGTATACCTATACACCTACACACCACTTCAGCCATACACGTCACAACCACTAGGCCATGTAGGGACCATAACCACACATTCACTACCAGGCCAACCTAGTTTTCCCATGCATTACAAAAGCACTCCATTGAAACATGGTGATGTAAGCTAGGCATGTCCGTTACAGTCTGCTCTGATACAACCATGTAATAGATTGCAGACGACATGAGTAAAGCAACAGTATCCATCTTATACAGTATTGTCTTAGAGGTTCTCTCTGATGACAAGTTAGGTTAACTTAGTTTAACAAAGTTAACACTACTGTACTTCAGCCATGCATGGAGACTGACTCAGGGCTGTTGGAGAGTGGGGGAGAGGGAGGCATAAGGTTAATGAGGCCCAGAAAGGGGAGGCGGAGGGAGGGGAAGAAACCCCTATTGTCAGGGGCCGAGGAGGAGAGAAAGAGGGATGGAGTCGGAGCATAGGAAAATCAATGCTGGAGCAGAAGGCGGCTATGCAGCGGAGACACGGGGGGTATGGCACCATTGTGCCGACCGGGTCACAGTCGAGAGGGGCGCCGGGGGTTCTGGGCTGGGGGCTTGGCCCAGGAGGAGCAGGGTTGAAAAGGAGCACAGCAACATCTCAGAGTCTTAAACTCAACTCATGTCTTAGAAAATAACAGAGAGAGAGAGCGAGAGAAACGAAAGAGCATCCAAACTAAAGCAAACCAGGGCATTTGTCTGAACAATTTGTTGGCTTTTATAGACTAACATGACCTGTCTTTGTTTTAAATTCAGAAACATGGAAGACATTCAATTCACGGAATGCTGTGTTATTGGAAACAACAGTACACACACATGGTGGCCGTGGTGGAAGGTCAGCCTGATGATTTGTTTACCTTGACGTGATGTCCCTCCATGTAACGTGTGGCGTCCCTGAAGAGGCGGTACATGACAAAGCCCTGGGGGTCGATGCTGTCAATCAGAGGGTACGCCGTCTGGGAGAGAGAACACTCATTACATCACAACCTCACACAGCATTGACATGCTAGATGCTTCTGCATATGCATGATGGCCATTGGTTACATAGCTAGATTTGGGCTGAGGATTGGGATAGACTTATGATTGTGTCGTCAGGGTCTAGTTTCCTGGTTACTACTCATAAAATCCTACTTAAAATCTCTTTGCATTAGAAAATCTAAAGTAACAGCTTCTCATAGAACTACATGGTTTAGTCAGCACTACTGCAGTGGGCAGGTGAAGAATACATGTGACAATATGAAGCACAGAAAACTTTGATGGGTTAATGATCCATCCCCCGTAGGGCTGCAGCTAGCGGAGTTAGACAGGCTTCAGTTTGACTTGGCACAGTCACTGCTGCAGGTCACCATAACACTGAGGCTGACCTTCACCGAGAGAAAACAACAGTCCCTAAACAAGGGGCCAATTAGACCCTGAGCTGCGCATGGCTCATTTGCATATAAATGTTGCCATAAATAAAGGGGTCTTCACAGCCCAAAAGGCAGCCCGTTCTGAGCCCGCCTGTTGGCAAAGACGTAGGTAATTAGGACAAACAATCGGGGTGAGGCATATTGGTTCCAAAACAACAAAACAGTCAAACGCAACATTAGGGATGTTGTTTGATATCAAGAATCGTCAACAGTGTTAGTTTGGAATAACAACCTCTCCCTCAACGTGACCAAGACAAAGGAGATGATTGTGGACTACAGGAAAAAAATGAGGACTGAGCACGCCCCCATTCTCATCGACGGGGCTGTAGTGGAACAGGTTGAGAGCTTCAAGTTCCTTGGTGTCCACATCACCAATTAACTATCATGGTCCAAACACACCAAGACAGTCGTGAAGAGGGCAAAAACAAAGCCTATTCCCCCTCAGGAGACTGAAAAGATTTGGCATGGGTCCTCAGATACTCAAAAGGTTATACAGCTGCACCATCGAGAGCATCCTGACTGGTTGCATCACCGCCTGGTATGGCAATTGCTCGGCCTCCGACCGCAATGCACTACAGAGGGTAGTGCGTACGGCCCAGTACATCACTGGGGCCAAGCTTCCTGCCATCCAGGACCTCTATACCAGGCGGTGTCAGAGGAAGGTCCTCAAAATTGTCACAAGACTCCAGCCACCCTAGTCATAGACTGTTCTCTCTGCTACCGCACGGCAAGCAGTACCGGAGCGCCAAGTCTAGGTCCAAAAGGCTTCTCAACAGCTTCTACCCCCGAGCCATAAGACTCCTGAACAGCTAATCATGGCTACCCGGACTATTTGCACTGCCCCTCCACCCCATCTTTTTACGCTGCTGCTACTCTGTTAATTATTTATGCATAGTCACTTTAACTCTACCCACATGTACATATTACCTCAACTAGTCGGTGCCCTGCACATTGACTCTGCACCGGTACCCCCCCTGTATATAGCCTCCCTACTGTTATTTTATTTACTTCTGCTCTTTTTTTCTCAACACTTCATTGATGTTGTTGTTTTATTTTACTTTTTTTATTTAAAAATAAATGCATTGTTGGTTAAGGACTGTAAGTAAGCATTTCACGGTAATGTCTACACCTGTTGTATTCGGCGCATGTGGCAAATAAAATTTGATTTGGAGTGACATAACATTCAAAAGTGATGGATTTGTTTCAGGGTGACCATTAGAACAAAGGTCTACAGGGAAATCAAGGAGGTGACAGGTGCAGTGTGGTCACAACAAACGAGCTAAGCTACACCCAGCGGTAAGAACGGCCCTGATTGGCTGTGGCGGAGGGAGGCTGTGGCAGGTGTCTGTTAGGTAAGTGAGGCAGGCAAGTCTACGCCTTTACCAATACAAAATGCTTCTTTACTAAAACGTGACATATGGTAGCAGTTCATTTACATATTACATTTTAGTCATTTAGCAGACGCTCTTATCCAGAGCGACTTACAGTTAGTGAGTGCATACATTTTCATACTGGCCCCCCGTGGGAATCGAAGCCACAACCCTGGCGTTGCAAACGCCATGCTCTACCAACTGAGCTACACGGGGGTTCTTGTGTTGTCTGTTGCAACACCTATAGAATTGCAGTGTTGATTGCCACAAGACAAGTTCAAAAGGGACAAAAGGGTGGGTGGGGGATTTAAGGGAAATTCTGGCTCAAGAGGATTCATCAACATAGGACAGCAAAGTTGTACTTGAACCAACATGGTACAATAATGGTTTGACCAGATCTTGTAAGTCCTCATTGGCCCATGCCAGAACAGCGTTCAAGCCCTTGTGTTGTGGAGTGGTCACTCACCATGCCTGTTTCTGCGGTGAAGATGACTATCTCGTAGAGAGGGGCTAGCTGCTGGAACAGGTAGTCGATGCCTGGCCTCTTCTTGAAGCGCCAGCCTGTAGCCAGCTGTGGGGAGGACCAGAGAACAGACCAGTCCCTTCACATGCTTAAAGACATACTAACTACTGCCCAACTTCAATGGGATACATTCATTATGGCTAGAACACTCACTGAAAGCTATCCACACAAATAGTCAGTGAATAATTGGATTTCAAATAATCCGTTTATCACGTTATAGTGTGTTATATTTAGGGTACAATTTATTTTTCGACAGCCAATAAATCCACATAAATGCACACAAATAACCAGTGAATGACTGATTCATTAGTTTGTTGTTATGTTATAAAGTGCTATATTTACAAGCATACATTTAGCTTTTTCAACAGCCTAAACAGAGCAGCTTAAGGCAGTTGAAGCCTTTGGATGACCTCCTGGGTGTAGGCCTATGTTGTTAACACTTGTCTTTTCTTCAGAAATCAAAGTCTGCTGAGGGCAGGTGTCAGGTTACAGCCGCGCCCCACCTGTCTACTGCACTCGCCACTCATAGGAGGAGTCATAGGGGGGAGGGGGCATGGAGACTACTCAGGGAAGGGGGAGTAGCCTCCCTACTCAGGTAGAGGGGCAGTTGGAGGGTGGTGTTAGAGTAGCGGTTGGGATGGGCTCTGAGGGGGCCAGGTGGAAGCCACAGGTAATGGGTGAGAGGAGGGGGGGTCTTTACAGATAGTGGAAGTAGACAGGTGGTGTGCCCCCAGCGACCCGCAGGCCAGATGGCCACACACACACAAACGGGGGGAGGAGGCTGAGGTAAAAGCATAAGTAAACAAATAAAAACGAGTCTACTTATGAATTATAAATGTACCATCCAATCTATTCAAGGCTATACTCCTATATGTAACTCTGCGTTGTTGTTTTTAATCGCACTGCTTTTCTTTATCTTGGCCAGGTCGCAGTTGTAAATGAGAACTTGTTCTCAACTGGCTTACCTGGTTAAATAAAAAGGTGGAAAAAAAATTAATAAAAAAATACTGAGAGAAGGCCTCCAGGAAACCCAGCCAGCCCCTGGTGCCAGGAGGCCAGAGTAAGGTGGTGGGTGAGGTGTGATAGGGAGGAAGGGGTGGTACGTACCGACCACTCGGGGTGCAGCAGGACGTCTGTGAGCTCCAGGACCAGGGTGTAGGGGGGCTGGTAGTAGGGCTCCCTCAGGGGGTCAGGAAGCAGCTTCGGGCTCGTGGGCTCAATGATCATCTGGGGGCGCACAGATATTACATCACACTATACAATAACACAATGCTGCGGTGGGAGGAGCAAGTGGCACATCATCAGAACTACGTGGGTCAATTGACAACAAGCCAAGCTCCATTAAAAATGTATGCAATTTGTATTTTGTGGTGAACGAGGCCTTATCCCTTTAACACTTGACATCATTCATAAGATGTTTCTCCTCTCCCGGCTCGCCGTAGTAAAATTGGAGGAGAGTATTTGGCTGCTTATGTGGGAATGCAGGAGCGTTAAAGATGGTGGTCCACTTCCTTATTCCGTTGGTTTGCTTTTAGCTGGCCTCATCACTGCAAACACCCTAAAGCCATAATCCTGTAAGAACCAGCTGCAAGACGGAGATGGGACGTGTGGAAGAGAGAACTGACATGTTCAGGAGACCACAGGCCAGGGAGGAGGAGAGGGGGTGTGTGTTGTCGATATGCAGGGTGGAAAAGGGGGGAGCGCGTGTGTATACACACACACGAAGGACACGGGGGGCTGTTCACGCTCCATTGAAGAGATCAAAGAGCTATGAGGGAGATGGATTTTGGTGTGTGTGTGTGGAGGGGGTCTAACTGAACAGCAGCTGCAGGCCCATGCAGAGGCCTTCCTGCTCTAAGCAGTCTGGCTGCACCTGCCTCTGCTTCAGTAAAGACAGACAGGAGGCCTAACATGGCTCCCAGTCTCACCCAGTGTACATTTCCCAATCCAGCGGTTAACCCAGGGGTTTAGCGGACAATGACCTTTTATTCTAACTCCCTGAACTAAATCCTCCAGCCTCAGAGGAAAAGGCTGGCTAGATCAGCCACATAGCAAATGCTACCAACTGTAGAGCGGAGCCATCCATTGATCAGGCTACATTGAACAGTGGGAGTGGCAGAGACCGTTTCTTCTGTTTTGTGTTTATTTCTTATCACCCACCTGTCTGTAGTCTTGGAAATACTTGAACGTCCTTCTCAACTGCTGGATAACTGGGGCGTCTGCAAGAGAGATAAAAGAGGATGAACAGTGTGGAGCAAGCATAATTTCTCTACACACCATACTCAAGACTGAACACTTAGCCTAAGGGGAGTTGTGGCCCATGTATGTATTGGCCATAGGAGTTATTGAGCATCTCAAGCCCACTCCGGTGGTGGTAGAATGTAGACATCTGCAGTCCTAATGAATGGCATTTAAAAAGGGGCAATCAGCAGTTGCTACACACACTGAACAAAAATATAAACTCAACATGTAAAGTGTTGGTCCCATATTCCATGAGCTGAAATAAAAGATCCCAGAAATGTTCCATATGCACAAAAAGCTTATTTCTCAAAAATGTCATGCACACATTTGTTTACATTCCTTTTAGTGAGCATTTCTCCTTTGCCAAGATAATCCATCCACCTGGCAGGTGTGGCATATCAAGATGCTGCTTAAACAGCATGAAAATTACACAGGTGCACCTTGTGCTGGGGACAATGAAAGGCCACTAAAATGTTAATTTGTGTCACACAACACAATGTCACAAGTTGAAGGAGCATGCAGTTGGCATGCTGATTGCAGGAATGTCCACCAGAGCTGTTGCCAGAGAATTGAATGTTCATTTCTCTACCATAAGCCACCTCCAACGTCGTTTTAGAGAATTTGGCAGTATGTCCAACCGGCCTCACAATCGCAGACTATGGTTGTTATTTTATCGATGGCAATTTGAATGCACAAAAATACTGTGACAAGATCCTGAGGCTCATTGTGACACCCATTTTTTTTTTTTAAAGGTATCTGTATTCCCAGTCATGTGAAATCCATAGATTAGGGCCTAATGAATTTATTTCAATTGACTGATTTCCTCATATCAACTGTAACTCAGTAAAAAATCTATGAAATTGTTACATGTTGCATATTTTTGTTCAGTATACATTTTTAGACTTAAATTAATGATATGTAACCATTGATTCTTGAAGAATATAACTTATAAATACGTCATAAGCTTAGTATAACAGTCGTACGCCATTAGAACCCAAAATAAAAGCTTGTCTTACTCCAATGTTTGTAAACAAAGAAAATGTAAACAAACACTAAATAGCCTCAAAACATGGTTAAAACTATAATTTTAATATCATGGATGGTTAGTCCTTGCATCCATAGCTGAATTTGAGCGTGGTTAAATGTATCCAGCCCTCAGCTTTTTAACAAACCAGGATGACCACTTTATTGTTTCTACCTGCAGCCCCTGGCCACAGTGTGTTTAACCAGGCAGGACCCTCTGGGTCCCCCAGCCCAGTAACAGCAGGCCTGGGAGTGGGTGAGATGGTTAAACACCCCCTACCCCTCCGGCCTGCCTGCGTATTCGTGTTTTATCAGGCCTGCATGTTTTATTAGTCCTGGGAGGAACATACTCTTCCAGAGAGTGTTGGACTGTGACTGGCCCTGTTGACAAACCTCTCCCATGGGATCGCAGAACCAAGCCAGGCTGGGGGTGGGTGGTGATCGCTACACACCCCTGCAGAGGGACGGGGGTTGCAGTGGCGTGTGTATGTGTTTGGTTTGTGTAATAGGTTTGTGCCCCTGTGTGAGTAACTGTGGACAGGATGGATCAAGGCACGCTTTTATCATGGTAATAAAGGGGCAGGGGGTTAGTAGTGGTGGGATGAGTGTGAAAGGAGGATGACAGGAAAAGGATGGCGAGGAGATGAATATTTGTCAGCCAGGCCACAGTGGGTCCTTCCATGATGATGAGCGAGAGGAGGGGAAGTTACCTCCATTTCTGGCCATATATTCAGGGACATAGGCATACCATTTTCTCCATTGGTAACAGTTGGCTGTCACTATTACTGTGATCAAATTCAGTCTTATCAAAAGCAGAACCCCCATTATGGCAAAAACAAAGCAGTCCTTTTCCACAGTTGGGACTGACATTGACTCTGAAAGGAAGGCCGCTACAAAAAACAAAAACAAAAAAGACCCCCAGAAAAGCAGGCTTTGACAAGCAGAAGCACTCTGGTCAGGCAGCCTCGTCTTAACCTTGTTTGCCAGTGTAATAGAGGCAGGCCATTGTGGCCAGTGGAAAGGCTATGTTGCTCTCGGGAGGGATGTCTATTTAAACAGGGGAGAAGTAGGGAGGGAACGAGGGAGGAAAGGCGAGAAAGATCGATGGCCGGGCCTCCGGACACAACAAAGGCCTCCTTTAATCCCGGACCGGGGTGGCATATGCTCCACTAGTTTGCCTAAGGCCATTATTACTCTAATGCCTTTCTCCTCCTCCCTCTTCTTTTTTTTTTTGTTGGGGGGGGGGGGGGGGGGGGGGTGGCTCTTGCTTTTCTTTTCCATTTTGGCCCACGCTGTACCCGGCTTAGGGACACAGGCTGTTGGTTGGGCCGGTAGGTACAGGAGGCAGGCTGGGTTGGTTAGTTTGTTTGTTTGGAGCCCTGGTGGTCTTTATTCTCCTAGGGGCTGTACGTCTCTGTCAGAGCGAGCAAACATGGAGGTCGTACAGAACGGCCACTTGTCAAGTCACAGCCAAATACGGGCTCTGAGGATCCTTGCTGTGGGATACTGACTGGGACACATGGAGGGTGAATGATCTAACAAAATGGACCGGAAGAGATGAGGTCTTCCAAGTCATGAAACGCCTCCAAAAAGTACAAGTCAGTTATTTAAGCCTAATAATAGTGCTTGAAGATTAAAGCAATACATCTGGTGTTTGTACTGACTGATTGCATACTGCATCAATACCATTTATTAGATCCACAGTACACACTAGGAGAAAGCAACAACTTCCAACCTCAGTGAGTATTTTCAAAGCAGTCCAGTGTGTCCTCAACAGGGTGGTCTTTGGGGAGCTCATCACCTTCACAGCGTCCAACGCTCCTCCTCAGCATAATGCCCCTGCTCTGAATACCATCACTTTGCATGGCGACACGGGTCTGGCGAGCATGCCTGTTTGCAGGCCAGACCTCAACGCCCCGGGTCCCTGAGGACCCATCCAGCGGAGGCGTCCAGGCTGCCTCCCCCCCCCCCCCCCCATCCCCAATCCCCTTCTGCCACTTGGGATGGAGGGCGCGTGGGCAGGAATGCTTCCTCTACACTCCCCCGGGGGCCCCTCAGGCCATCATTGGCCTTCATTAGGGGTATTGAACGCTGTGGGTGCATCAGGACTGGCCAATAACAGCAGCCGCCGTAGCAGCACTCTGGGCACTAAGGTAATAAGGAGAGCCACAGCAGCGGTGCCAGATAGAGACAGCGATAGGGGACTTTGGGGAGCGTGAGGAATTCATTAAGTAATTATTGGTATAACAGGGTGATTGTTACGCGTTTAAGAGGAGACTTCCCCCCCCCCCCGTTCTATCGGATATAAAATCAACACTTCTGGAAAGGGCCGCAGCTGTCCCTGGCATTAGCATAGCTTTGAAGCAGGGAGGGAGGCACCTCGCGACTCAGTCCCCCTGCTCTGCCCTCTGTCATTTCAATAGCATAGCCAGTCATAGGAGAACTCTACACATTCCCTCTCAGCTCCACACTGGCCAAACATGCACTCAGTGGAGGGAGAGAGGATGACAATCAAAATACCAATGAAACAGACAGATAGGATTACAAATCTATTGTGGAAACCAATGGGTTGTAATACTATGAAATGGAGAGAAAGACTATCTAATTTCCATTTTCCTGTGTGTCGGTCTTGTCATGAGGCCCTTTTCACCAGGTTGTCAGCCTGGCTGTTTATAGGGATGACTGATGGCTGAGGGGCATTTGGGGGGTTGGTTACCAGCTGGTGGGTACAGGGTGGTAGTCACACACAGAATGGAGGGGGCGGTTGGCATTGCCTGTGCTTTGGGTGTGGGATGCATGCAAGGTGGCATTTCTCAGTGGGTTGATCGATCATACACCCCCCCTTCCTGCCCGCCATCCTAGGCTGACAGCAGAACAGGCAAGCTAGAGGGGGGCTAATCTGGAGCACTGTCAATTAATGGGTGGACCATGGTATGGATATGTTGGTAATTAGATTGGTAGAGGTCTGCCTGAGGGTGCAAGCAAACATAGCCTGCAACATCGCTTATTTTTAATTGACAAATCTAAGGGAACTGTAAACAACAGGGCTAAGCCTTCACAAGTAAATGACCAACAGCTGTCTGAACGTAGCCTATAAAACATAACTGATGTAATGTGAATCGAGATCCATTTACAGACCAGGAGCAGATGTTTGGGAACACAGGTGTGCCAAAAGCCTCAGAGACCTAGGGGGCAAAAATAAACTGATCTCTAAGCTAACTCAACTTTGAGAAAAGAAAACCTCTCCAAAATACCTTATGGATTAGGCTAAATACACAGGTATTGTCAGTCATCAGGGTAAACAAACGAGAAAACAACTCACCATTGTCAAACTCATCTGGAATCTGTAAGAGAAGACAGAATAAGGAAATTGAGAAACGGTTCACTTCACATGTTTGTGTGATTGCCAGGTCAGTGTTAATCAAATGCTACTGTTGACAGAAAACTCACACTGTATGGCCTAAGGCATAACGTAAATAACATGACATTGTGTGGTTGTGTTTATGTTGAAACGTCAGTGTCAGCCAATTCAGCGGTGTTTGTGTTTAGGTCCTAAACAGCCACGACACCTCTCAAATACTACTGAATATTCCTTTATTGAAGTTGATAGCTATCCAGGCTAGTTAGCATTTAATCTCTTTCTATGCATCTAAACCAGGGGTAGGCAACTAGATTCAGATGCGGGTCGATTTATGTCAGCGCAAATGGTCGGGGGCCAGAAAATTATAATTTGTACACTGCAAATTGACCACAACTAAGCCCCAAAAGAGATTGTATTTTCAAATCATTTCATACCTTGATTACATTGAGACACGATCACCTTTTTTGTTGTTGTGGGGATACTTGGGAAGAGATTTTTAGCTGAATTCCTGCTGATTTTACAGTCTTGTGGCAAAAAATTGGAATCCCCCCCCAAAATAATCACTTGCGGACCGGTTTTGGCCTAGGGGCCGCCTGTTGCCTGTTGCTGATCTAAACCGAACAGCAATACTGTACCAATGTTTGACATACTCTCTTATAAACAGTTCTTAAGCAGGGACTAAGGTACCAAAGTTAAAAGAGACAGTGGTTTTCTCCTTGAGAGCACAGACACCAAGACCGTCCAAACCACTCACGCTCTACTCTCCGCCTGGACAGCCCAGCATCTGTGTGTAGTGCACTGTGTAGTAGAGTCCAGTATATTGAACCGTGGAGCGGCTGCTAGTCTCTGTGCGTCATGCCTACGTGTGGCCCTCCCAATCCCTCGCGGTGACACTTTCAGCAGCGCGCCACACCAGCCCACCAATTAACAGACAAATTAAATCTCCCAGCTGATCTGAATATTCAGCTGCATCTGCCAGCAGGTTGCCGGCCTGGGCCAACCTGGGGGTCTACCTTGCCTGCCCAACGGGGGGGGGGGGGGAGAAAGAAGAAAGAGAAAAAGAGAGAGAGAACCAGCCGGGGGCCAAGGTAGACACCACATGCTGCACGCTGGGGCAACTACATGGGAACAGAGGGGGTGGGCTGGAGCTGTTTCATCCCCCTCCTCAACACCCCTCCCTCCCTATCAAGGCTGTCCTGAGGGGGTTGCAGTGGTCGAAGAGACAGACTGCACAACTACACCCCCTGCTGTCTGTGCATGGTTATGAGTTGCCCTTATATAAACGCAGATCATTTGATCACTGACACTGTTCATGATATAGATAACTGCTTACAAAGCACACTGCCCATCTATAGTGACTTATTCCTCAATTATATTACACCCGATTAATTTCATAATGACAGGTAAACCTGTATATTATGGCAAAGGTAAGGGGATGGGCCAGTAGGGAAAAGGTCAACAGTCATGAGTCGGCCAGGTGTGCCCTCTAGTGGCTGTGTAAGGAGAATGAGATAGGTCTAGTTAAAAAAAAATATATAAATTGGTCATTTAGCAGACGCTCTTATCCAGAGCGACTTACAGGAGCAATTGATCAAGGGCACATCGACAGATTTTTCACCTAGTCGGCTCGGGGATTAGAACCAGCGACCTTTCGGTTACTGGCACAACGCTCTTACCCACTAAGCTACCTGCCGCCCCAGTTGTTTTCCCCTTTACCCTAAAGAGGTCTAAACAGTCTATGCAAACGGCGCCAACGGAGGTCCATTTGCGCCACGTTCCAAAAATGCATAAATGTACGTATAACTACGTAGAGAGCGACGCAAAGGAACATCCGTCAGCTCTGTTTGCGTAGACTGTGTAGAGCCCTTAAGAGGTTTTCTTTGCTGGCAGCCAACCTTGGAATCGGGTGCGATCCTCTTAAAGCACTCAGACTAGACATCTCATTCAGAGATAAGCTTACGCTTAGGAAAGGGAGGCAAATGACAGTCGTATCAACCCCTATGTCGGTAGTGTCTAGTATATAGTGTCCAGCATCTCCGCCTTCCTATCCTAAACCAATAGCGTCACGTAGGCTAAAGCTAGTCAGGGTTGGAGTCAGTTAAGGAAATTAGTTGAAATTCATGAACAAATCATTATCAATTAATTGATCTTATTTCCATGCCCTGTCTCCAATTATATAATTAGCAGAATGTTGAGGAACAAATATTCCTTGCCTCTGCTCTGACAAAAGATTGTTTTCCCATTAAAGCATCTCTCAAGAACCACTTCTTATCACAGAGCAGTGAATTAACTCAGAAAAGACTTGGGTCTGCCAAATTGGACCTTCAGAGGAGGTTGACATTGTCCGAGGTGTGCGATTGCTCATTTAGGGATCATTCACACCTGGTCACAACACTGGGGCAGAGGCCCGGGAGACCAGGGGCAGGCCATGTTCCCGAACCAGCTACAGGATGGCCATGGGAACTCTCACCAAACATCAGAGGTGGCCACTTATTGCTCTGAGAGATGAAAATAGTTAAAATCAAATGTTATTCGTCACATGCGCCGAATACAACAGGTTAAGACCTTTCCATGAAATGCTTACTTACAAGCCCTTAAGCAACAATGCAGTTTTAAGAAAAATCTGAGTTAAGACAGCCGTGTACAATATGAATGTATGAGACCATCGATCCTCACAGCAACACACTGGTAAGGGGCAAATCCCATTATAAGAGATGGTGCTTGAGCTAGTGAAAGGAATGAGAATTGGTTGTCACCAATGTTCCCTCTAAGCTGCTTGGAGCTCCCCAGGACTGCCAGACAGAAGAACTATCAGCCTGCACAGAGAAGCACGAGATTGAACTTCACTCAACTTTCTAGAGTTTTCCCCCTTACTGTGGGAATTGTGATCTAATCAATGCAATATTAGCCACTTTCAATGCAACATACCGAAACAAAACTAACTACGCAAGACGTAGTACGCAAGAGATTTTGTTGTAGGCAGAACACATCGGAGTAGGATTCTATTGCTTTGAGTCACCTCCTTGTCTGAAGGACAAGTGGATAAACAGGTTAATGTCAAGCCCTGCATGTTTTTTTTCAAAAGTCTCATGGAATGTAGGCCTGCATTGAACACCACACATTGGCTGCTACTATAGGCTGAACGATAGAACAGCTATTTCCATGTTAAGATGTTATGGGATGCATTTTCCCCATTGTTTTTGATGGTAGGCCACTCTGGTAGGCCTACATTATGATCAAATAGCCACAGTAGCCTACTTGACCACTGTCTGAAACTGTAACTTAAAGCAGGTACAGCCTCAGTGTTCACAGTAAACACGCGCTGGAAGTTGCACAGAATTTTCACAACGTTCAAGTTTGCGCTCAGCAAACCTGAAAATTGCTCAGTGCCTAATTTTTTGAGGGAACATTGGTTGTCACTCCCAAGTTCCAAAATGCACTCATCCGTTTTGGAAATTCATCAGATACTTGTCCAACCCATTGAGCAGTGGTCACCAACCTTTTGAGTCAAGATCACTTTCGCAGTCAAAAAGCAAAATATGATTTAAAAAAACATTACCCTATTAAAAACAGTTCTGTAGGAATGAGGTTTGTGCAGTAGGCCTAATACATTATCACAGCATATTGGCTATATGCCTGGCGTACCAATATTGTTCTTCTCAGACCATATTATATTTCAAAACTCGAGCTTGATAACAAAATAGATCAGTTGGTGTAGCACTTGCGAGGCACAGCAGAGTATAAATTGAAATAATTCGCTATTTCGATTTTACTGGACTGATGGTACCTACATCTGATGATCATGGTGCTTTCAAGACAATTGGGAACTCCGGAAAAAAAACGAGGTCAAATCATGACGTCAGTGATCTTCAGGTTGGACTCTCACGGTCCCTGCTCTCCTCTTCCTTTCCTCCGGTGAGACTGACCAGAGAGAGGGGACACAGTCTTCCACCTGATGGCCAAACTCCAGTTGCACTGCATCTGCCTCATGCACAAATTCATGTTGTTCCTATGACCTGAGAAAGTGAACTATTCCTCAATATTAAAATAGACACGACGAGCTGCTAATAATAATAACACAGGGCTATCGATACACTTGGCTACTCACTCACTGCAGCTGCAGCGCAAATGGAAGTAGGGAGAAACGCTTTTATGCTTTGTAATAGTGCTGAACAAACACTGTGTTTACAGCGCTGAATAAAAACGTAGACATTAACTCACTCTTTGCTGTATTTGGCAGTGTCTCTCTGGTCATGGTTTAGAAAAGTTATGAAATCTCACTTATGCTACTATCAAACTTTGCTGTGGCCGGGGTCATGGAAGCTGTAGGAACGGTGATTTGAGCTATCCGATTGGTTGGTTCAAAATAGGAACACTTTGCCTACTCGGTGCCCAGGGATTCTGAATCAAGTGCACCTACCGCCAACAGCGCAACACAAATATGTATATATTTTTTTAATGAGCGCAAGCCTTTCTCAGGAGATTTTCTACAGAAATGTTTGGTGATCGACTAGGAATTCCTTGATGATCCACCGGTTGGTGACCACTACCCCAGAGTGACAAAATTAGTTATCATATTCCAAGATAATACTTTCGAACAGGGGAAAATGGGAGCCAAACAGAACCCAATCCGGGGCGGCAGGTAGCTTAGTGGGTAAGAGCGTTGTGCCAGTAACCGAAAGGTCGCTGGTTCTAATCCCCGAGCCGACTAGGTGAAAAATCTGTCGATGTGCCCTTGAGCAAGGCACTTAACCCTAATTGCTCCTGTAAGTCGCTCTGGATAAGAGCGTCTGCTAAATGACTAAAAAATAAATAAATAAATAAATAAATAAATAAAGGCTACTTGACATACGATAAGGCTGTAGAGTTACTGATGTCACTCAGCACAAAAAGGTGTGTCTCCTTATTTTATTCCCCCAGACACTCAGTGTCGATGACTAGTCATGCTTTCACTAGCATGTTCAGCCTTAGAACCTTGAGGCAACTGCATTAATGCAAAGCCCAAAATATGCTGCTGTACAAGTTTGGCCTTAAAATGTAACTGCATTAATCTACCCTTGCACTCTTCCATCGGAAAGGTGTTCCAGACGTTAGGCTCCTGTGGTTCCTGAGAGGAAGCCATAGAGATGAGAACAGGATCCAGCTCCTTCTCTCACAGTGACACCCAAAGACCTCCAATGAACACAGCTCATCCAGTCTGAGGGGACAAGTGTGGGATCCAGCACCCAGAGGCCTGGCACACTCCACTCACAGTCTGACAAGTGTGCCCACAAGAGCCCTTTGAAGTGGGTGATAGGTGAGAAAGACATACTATTTTAAGTGCCCACCTACCCAAAGTTCCAAACCCAGACCTCTAACTCCTGGCAGAGGGCCACAACTCACAGCAGCCTAAGAAGTGTGCCTTTTGAAGTGTGAACAAGCTTAAACTGTAAAGTGAACAACAGGACATGATAAGTGAAAGAAATGTGCTCTTTGAAGTGCCCCAAACCCACACCTTTGACCACTGACACAGGTCACAATCTCCTGAGAAGTGTGCCCTTTGGTAGCTTGGTCTCACTTAAGGCAGGACATGATGGGTAACACTTTATGAGGAAGTGTGCCAGAGGTGTAGAACCCAGAGACCAGGATATCATCTGACCAAACATTTGTGCCAAACAGGACCAAATCCAAAGCGACCACTGAACCTAAGACTTTGCTGTAGAGCTACTGATGTCACTCAGTACAAGAATGAACACCTCATTTCCTCCCCACAGAAACTCATAACTGTAGTTGACTAGTCATGTTTTCACTAGCATGTTCAGCCTTAGAACCTCGGGCTACTGATGAATGCGAAGCCCAAATATGCTGCCGTACAAGATTGGCCTTGGGCTGTAACTGCATTAATCTACCTTAGGACTCTTCCATTGGACATGTGGGCCAGACCTTCACGTTAGGCTCTTCTGGTTCCTGAGAGGAATCCATAGAGATGAGAACAGGATCCAGCTCCTTCTCTCACAGTGACACCCAAAGACCTCCAATTGACACAGCTCATCCAGTCTAAGGGGACAAGTGTGGGATCCAGCACCCAGAGGCCTGGCACACTCCACTCACAGTCTTGTCAAGTGTTCCCTCTGAAGTAAGATAAGTGTGCTCTTTCAAGTGGCCACCTCCCAAATCCCACACCTCTAACCCGTGGCAGAAGGCCACACATCACGTAAGGCCTACATCCCTCAAATCACAGCAGCCTGAGAAATGTGCCCTTTGAAGTGGCCACAGGTTTTAACTATGAAACACCAAACTAGGGTCTTTGGTGACGAAGTGAGCCCTAAGAAATGTCAATGTTCCCAAACCCACAGCTCTAACCCCTGCCACATATCAAAGTTACCTGAGACATGTGCCCTGTGGAGGATGTTGCCCCCCATCCTGTTCTCATTCCACACATCCTGCCCAAACTAATGCCACTGAAAAATAGACATTACTGACCACAAGAGTAATCTCAGCCAACTACAGTATGTTCACCTTGAGGCAAGCTCCTTCAGTGGCTTTTGGATTATATTTTACCCACTTATTATGGGTGTAACTTAATAGTAAAATTGTGATACATTGCTGTAAGCACAAGGAACCTTAATATTAGGTAAGTAGCTGGTCATCTCATGTACTACAATAAGGTTTTCATTCAAAAAGTGTTGAGTAAATGGACATCAATTCACTCAGGGGTCGACAATTCACATCATGAAGGCTGAGCCTTGGAAAGGTGTTCCAGACGTTAGGCTCCTGTGGTTCCTGAGAGGAAGCCATAGAGATGAGAACAGGATCCAGCTCCTTTTCTCACAGTGACACCCAAAGACCCCTAATGAACACAGCTCCTCCAGTCTGAGGGGACACGTGTGGGCTCCAGCACCCAGAGGCCTGGCACACTCCACAAACAGCAGCCTGACATGTGTGCCCTTTGAAATGAAAGAAGTGTGCTTTTTCAAATGCCCACCTTCCCAACCCCATACCTTTAACCCCTGGCAGTTAACAGACTATTTACAGTAAGCTGACAAGTGTGCCCTTTGAAGTGGACAACAGGACCACACCTAAAAGGTGAAAGAAGAGTGATCTTTGAAGTAGTCACCTTCCCAGACTCACAACTCTAGTCCCTGGTGTGTCTTGTGGGAAACCATACACACCGCAAGCACTAGCATGAATCAATTAACGAACTACATGGAATCTACCTGAGAAGTGTGATAAGTGTGTCACCACCTTCCATTATGCACACTTTAAAACCCACTGGCACAAGCCACAGTCTGCTTAGAAGTTCTACAGAACTTTGTCTGGCAATCTTATACCTATACTTGTCAATAATTGGTCCTAAAAGTCGATAAACCACATGTTCTGCATCAAAACATGTTTTAATAAAAACATACCGTGTTTCCTTGTTCATCCACTGAATTGCTACCTGTATACAGGGAGAAAAACATTACTTATGATAGAAATATAATATCATAGATGTATAATATTATTTGCTTTGAAACAACATGAGCATATGTTGCATTACATGCATCAGATGCCATGTGTCCACAAATCAAATTACTTCTGAAAAGCATATGGCACCGCACAATGTGTCATGTGTTTCAGAAAAGTGACATAACAGACTTTGTGAAACATTCAACCATTCCTTTTGACAAGTATGGTCATGTCTTTTACAATTCAACCATTCATCTAGGCTGACGGGAATGACAGAAAGTACAATAACACTGGAATATAATATATATTTTTTATCTTTGATTCACATACAATAGCTATTGAACTGTAAATTGATCAGAAAAGGCAGACATGCTTTGAGAAAACACATTTGAGAAAGCCATAAGATGAGTGCAAAGAAACGGCTGATCAAAATTCTACATCATTGAGATGAGAGGAGAGTAATATACAGTTGAAGTCGGAAGTTTACATACACCTTAGCCAAATACATTTAAACTCAGTTTTTCACAATTCCTGACATTTAATCCTAGTACAAATTCCCTGTCTTAGGTCATTTAGGATCACCACTTTATTTTAAGAATGTGAAATGTCAGAATAATAGTAGAGTGGGTCAGAAGTTTAACATACATCATTAGTTAATTGCTGACATTGCCTTTACAATTGGTTTAGATCAACATTGTAGAAGGCTAACCTCGAAATAGTAAGTGTCACAAGTTACCACTCAATTAGATTGGTGTGAAATTGTTGGACACTCTGAAGGAGCGAGTTTACCGAAGTCCAGGGTTTTGGCCTCCTTGACAATCGCGAACACAGGTTTGTAGTTCTTCCCAACGTCTTTCAGTTGTGGTCAGGGCTTTGTGATGGCCAATCCAATACCTTGACTTTGTTGTCCTTGAGCCATTTTCCATAACTTTGGAAGTATGCTTGGGGTCATTGTCCATTTGGAAGACCCATTTGCGACCAAGCTTTAACTTCCTGACTGATGTCTTGAGATGTTGCTTCAATATATCCACATAATTTTCCTTCCTCATGATGCCATCTATTTTGTGAAGTGCACCAGTCCCTCCTGCAGCAAAGCACCCCCACAACATGATGCTGCCACCCCTGTGCTTAACGGTTGGGATAGTGTTCTTCGGCTTGCAAGCCACCCTTTTTCCTTTACGATGGTCATTACGGCCAAACAGTTCTATTTTTGTTTCATCAGACCAGAGGACATTTCTCCAAGAAGTACAATCTTTGTCCCCATGTGCAGTTGCAAACCGTAGTCTGGCTTTTAGCGGTTTGACAGGTTTCCGCTGAGCGGCTTTCTTTTTGGTCATGATAGACTTTGCCCGTTCCAGCTGG